GTTATAACCATCATCATCTTTTTTTGTTTTTACTATCAGGGTCCCATTGGGGAGATTTCCCTTCACTTCCTGTCCAATAGCCACAACAGGAAATGAGAGAAAATCCATTTAAAGTGAGGGAAATCCCTGAAGGTCAGCCACACAAAATTTGGGATTTCCTTCAGCCACCAGGACAGGGGTCAAACTTTCTAAGGGGGACGGCAAAATAAAAATCTGACATGTTCTAATCCCTTTCCACGATCCAAAACCTGGCATCAGTTGTACTTTAAGCACCTGACAACTTCTTATATCTTTCAGAAACACTATGGTGAGATCTTATTGCTGCTTTTTGGTTCTGCATTCCTACTGTGGTCAATATGAACGGACCCCACTCTGCCCAATGGTTTTTGTATTTATTTTATAATACGGAGAATAAAAAGCAGGTGGTAAAACATCCATGTACTAAAAGACATTTTGGTAAATCAAAAAAAGTGTATGAAAAATGCCACCAAAACTGCCAAGACAGAACCAAAACAGTTTTCAGAAGCTACACACTTATAGAAAGCTGAGAAGTGAATATGCTCTTATAGAATGCTGAGACCTACTATTAATACTAAAGCCCAAGTAGTAGCTAAATCCAAAATCCTAGTAGCCAGGTTGTAGCTAAATCCAAAGTCCTAGTAGCCATGTTGCCAATGCGCCTTAAAATTTAGAGCTGGCACCTAACATGTGATATTTTGTCTAGTTGTTGTCATCAATGGAGCGGGGTCCTATAAAAAAACCGCTGGCTCCCGGACTGGACAGACTGACTCCTGAATTCCATATTAATTTGTACACCCCTGAACAAAATGCAGTTTAGTTACTAGAACACATATAATGCTATAGCTTATATTTTCTGTGCACTGCACATGCCATTACCTTATGTTTGACATTTCATTATATATATATATATATATATATATACTGTATTCATTATCCCTTTCCATCATATCATATTTCTTCTTCTTGTGTAACTCTTCAGTAATCATACATGCACTTTCACTATCAATACTCAAAGGGATGATATACAAATGATAACCTTTGTTTTATCTATCTGTTATTACAAGGTAATTGCCAAGCAATATAAATGGTAGGAAGAAAAATGGAACAGCAGTCACACCAATGCTGTAAAATAAAGAGGATATATATGCCTTAAACAATGCTCTGAATTTTAATTTTGCCGCATTTCCCTTATGACTCAGTACAAGATTTAGCATGCCTATTATTGCTAGCACTCCCTCCCCTTAACAACATGCCAGTTATTGCATGTAATTAAAAAGGTGGATTGAGCAGACCAGTTTGGGTTTGGCAAGCTAAATAATATACTACTCACTAGCACCTTCATAGCTGTTGTCATCAAATAAACCTGCCCTATAATCTGTTCTTATACTGAAGAAATGTGTAGTCCAGGATGTATTCTTTCATCATAATATTGTAACTTCCATTTGTTAAAACGAACCTGTACTTTGCCCAGGCAAGGTAACATGTTAACCTTTACAAGAAGGACTGACCATAAGGAGCCATTATTCACCTTCCCCGCACTCCCTATGCCGCCCTTCCAGAGAAATGCCTGCTACTTCTGGCTATAGGGTGAAACAAGTGACAATACCCCTGCTCCCCCACAATGGAGCACTAGGTGTCTGTGTGGCCAATCACCAGGCCCAAAGTCTGTTACACAGGAGGTATGGGGGAGCTCTAATGGTTAAATGGGATCCAACGTTCGTTTTCAAGCATAGTGGTGAGGAGAGTCCGAGGGGCAGGATGGAATCATTTCCTACTCATTTACTATGCAAACTAACACATTTCAATCTGTGTATGCGATTGTTGTTTGGGAAAAAATTGTGCAGGCACATAGGAAACCTGTTTAATATGTCTGGGATTTCCTTCAAGTAGCCTTTCTGGGTGAAAGTATTTGACTCAATGATGGCAAGTTTGGATGCTCTGACATTTTCACCGTATATTTATGTATTGATTTCGGAAACAGAATTTCATTTGAACGCTCCATCCGAATCATTTGCCAGAGCATTTAAGCAGTCTGGTGGTTTGGGAGCAGGGGCAAGGTAAGCAGGGGCATGCTGATTATGTCCCCTTTTGTGAAGTGAACCGGTTACTTTGACTAGTATAGATAAATTACAGGTTTACTTTAACAATTGGCACTGACCTACCAAAACTGTTGAGAAATTGTTCAGTTCAGAACTTTTAGCCATTAGTTTCCCTACTGACTGCATAAAATATGAAATGCATAAAAAATTAAATGGAACTACACTTTGTATGGACAGGTCATTGACAGCCAGCACTACAGGGAGCTCATTCAGCATACTTCAGTGTTCCTCTCCCACGCGCTCCCTCTATTGCTGTCTGGGAACAACATCCTCAGTAGCATGGCAAAATGCAATCAGAGGCTGCGGGTCAATGTGGGTGAAATACACCGGTCTCTTCAATTAAGGCGCAAAAACCCATCAGTTCGTTTTTCAGCTTTTGAAGCCAATGAAAGCAAAACGTAACTACACTAAAAGTCAGGGCAGTCCCTATACTGAGGCTTGCCTCAGGCGGCATCTCACCGAATCACATGGGGAGGGAGGGGGCGGCTCCCTTTCTGGCCAGAGCGTCCCAGGTTGCGAAGAGCTCTGGCCAATGTTCCGCCCAGCTCACTGATGTCACTGGTTGCCAGGAGCGGAGCAGGACTCTCTGACATGCATCCCACCCAGCCCCTGGCAACCAGTGATGTCAGTGAGCTGGGTGGATATTTTATTTATCTTAAAAGTGTATTTCCACTTTTGCAGCTAAATTATAACACCTACTTCATTACATGTTTCCATTCATGTAGCATTAAATTACCGCTTACCTTTTAATTGCTGTCTTCTACAAACTCTAAAACTGAATATTTCTCCTGCTATGTAAGTTAAGGGGCTGGGGAGTTCATGTTTACCATAATCAACCCTGTCTGTACTGTGCCGGCGGATCACAATCAGTTGTAAACTAGATTTTAACCCGGACTATTCTAACAAAGGGTTAAAGATTTTAGAGCTAGTGTTCTGAATTGTATGTCAATGACAAGAAGCTGTAAATGTAAGCTATTCTGAACAAAGAAACAACTAGAAAGGTGAGAAATCATTCTTTTGATTATTTTTAGATATGCTGTGTGAATGGGAACACGTAACAAACAAACAAAGAAACAAAGAAAAAACAACTGACCCACACAGGGCTGTTGCAGCAAAACACTAACAGGAAACTGTACAAATAATACTACAGTATAGTAATGCTAAAAAGAAGTGTAAATATTTCCCAGTTAGCCCGAGTTGGCACGCTGTTTACTAGATCCAGTGCTCTATACTTCATTTAGCATTAGGAACATGTGCTGAGCTGAAGGTGGAGTGCACTAAATGCACTACATCTGGTAAACATTGCACCATCACTCACGGCATGCACTGTTATGTTATATCATGGAGTGTGTAAAACTGTGCGTCTACAAAAGATCATAAGTCCCAGGAGTTGGAACTATAAAAGTGGCCTAAGAGCACATTACTAAAATCAGGCCATGTTAAAAGGACTGCTGCAATCTAAAGAAAAAGTTTCATATGAAAGTGCTGTAAAAACATTTACTGCAGGGGTCTCAAACCTCTGGCCCTCCAGCTGTGATGGAACTACAAATCCCATGAGGCATTGCAAGATTCTCACAGCCACAGACATGACTCCCGAAGAGAGATGCATCATGGGATTTGTAGTTTCACCACAGCTGGAGGGCCAGAGGTTTGTGTGTAGGAGAGTTCTGCTGCCTGGCTACCACAATATGGCACACAGTGGAATGGCGGCAGCACTCAACGGGGGCAGTCCCGAAAACCACGGTGGCGAGGGCCGGACACGATTGCCGCGGCTCCTTTCATACAAACGCTGTACATTCAGCTCTGCTTGTCCGGAGCAGGGCTAAATGTACAAACAAACTAAACTGACATTAAACATGCTATCACAAAAGACTGCAAAGTTTTGGATCCAGTGTGGTCCTTTCATCAGGCAAGACAATGTGTCCGTCCATTTATCAGGCAACACAATGTGATGTTGTCACATTGTTTTGCCTGATGAAGGGACTACATTGGCGTGCTGGTGACCGCTTTACCTCTATTGTTTTTGCACCCCATTCGCTAGCCATTTCAGCACCCACTGCAGTTGCAAGAAGAGATATGTCGGTTTGGAGTGGGATTTCTTTAACACTTAAAGTGGACCTTTATCCATATCTTGAAAATAACAACAAAACACACCTATACTGGTGACTAGTCCTTTACCAGCTGCCTGTATTTTTGGGAACATTTTCAGGTTTGCTTTAAAGAGGAACTTCACCCTCATCTTACAAATGACAACAAACACACCTTGATAAATGTTTAGTAATGACAATCTACAAACACATACTTCTAGATAATTGCCGGCTTTGTATTCTGTGCATACCTTGTTTCTCTTTTCTTTCCAAGTCTTCTGACTGTGGCAATGTTTACCAAGGGCAGATTACTAGCTCTCCTATTACTTCCTGGATTTCTGGCACATGTGACTAGGACATGTGACCATGTACATCATCTCAGGGGAGGAAAATGCCTTTCCCCGAGATTTAATTAGATTACAGATAAGACTTCCCAGCAATGCTCTGCTGATGTAACCTTTCCAAGATGCACTTTGGCACATTACATCATTTGTGCCAGAACTGGACCAGGAAGTAGATGATGAATATTTAATTCAGCATGCAGAGCTGCATGCTGCAGTGATTTTTAGGAAAATGGGGCAAAGGTCTGCTTTAACACTTGGGAATTCCAAACTCAGAGGGTATGAGGAATGTTTGGGAGATGGTTGGTGTTAGGTGAAGCAGGATAAAATAATGATCAGAGAAGATCAGTTACTAAGCTCTCTTCAAAATAACCTGGAGTCCAAATAGTAAATTCATATTTCCAGGGCATTTGTAACAATATTCTAATGAGGTAATTTATAATTGTCCTCACCTTTCCTTAACAGCTCTTGCAGGCTTTCCGCACTTTGGTTCAATACAGCCCATATCTCCTCCTCTTGTAAGGGCCCTCCTCGAACTTCCAAAGCTTCAGCCAGTGACACATGCATATTATCTGGACAGGGAGAGAAATGACAAAAACATCAGAAAAGTACTTTACAAGTACATCTGCACCATTCAGTATCCCCCCTTTGAAAGCAAATACAAAAAAGCTCTGAATAAAAAGCGCAGCTTTATTTTGCACTTGTAGACCATCTGAAGAGTACTGATAAAACCCTGCTTGAATTCTGTTTCCAAGCAGATAACATGATGCTGGCCAAGCTTTGGGCTTGACACATTTTCAATTGCATTTATGACCGTGGAGAAGATAGCCTTGAATTGTTCTGGACATCTGTTTCATTATCAAACATATCTGCTTATAGAACAAGTCAGTGTGTTTCCAGATCAATTACAGGTACACCAGCTACGAGGCTGGATTGAACAGCACAGTGAGAAAACGGCACTTATAAGGCAGTAACAAGGCAACATTAGCTTTAATACATGTTGTGAAACATGCACCTTTGCATTAGAAAAGTACATTAAATTGTAGGTTCTCGTGAGCAGGGCCCCCCTACCTCCTGTACTGTAATTGCATTGTTGATTGTATTGTCTCCCTCAATTTTGTAAAGCGCTGCGCAAACTGTTGGCGCTATATAAATCCTGTAAAATAATACAATAATAAAAAAAATCATAGAGGATAGTGGAGAGCACGAGCTATGCAAACATTGTATCTTTGCAAGAGAAGTCTAGATGCAATCTGTACACCTACAGTGACACGGCCACAATGCACCAACAAGCCCTTCACTGAAAATACTGCAAAGCATTTCAATAATGATGGTTTGAACATGCCAGATAATTTTTAGACAGACTCTGGTGGCAAGGTTGGTCCTGGGGTTGTAATGGGCAAACTCTCCAACCAAGGCACAGACCACACTATTTTTAGTGAAAGTGGACCTGAACTCAAACAGTGAAGTTGTGCTATGTCATAGGTAATATCTAGAAATGTTAATTATGTAAAAAGCAGTATCCGCAAAATGTGCCTTTTACACAGAATTCCGCCTGAAAAATTGTTGTGTACTTCACGGTGAGTGAGGTGCCTATGCACCCCTACAGCCCCTAGTTTCATGAGATTTGAGCTGCAAAGACCCAATACTGGTGACTAGACCTGTACCAGCTGCCTGTCTTTTTTGGGCACATGCTCCAGAGTTCAGGTTTTGCTTCTAGATATTTGCAGGCTTTTTATTCTTTGCATACCTTATATTTCTTTTCCTCCCCATTTTTCTCACAGTGGCCATTTTTACTAAAGGCAGATTAATCCATCTCCCTTTAATTCCTTAAACTCTGGCACATGTGACTAGGACATGTGACCATGTACATCATCTCAGGGGGGGGGGGGATCCTTTCCATGAGATCTTGCAAGATCTTTCAAAATACAGATGAGGAGATTTCCCAGCAATGCACTGTGATGTAACCTTCCCAAGATGCATCTCTTAGGCAAGGGCTAATGCCTGACCGGGAAGTGGAAAAACTGTAATTGTAGGTAAAAGTAAACTAAGAAATGTAGGATGCTTTCATATCAGCATGCGGAGCTGAGCTTTTTAGTAAAAGGGTTAAAGGTCTGCTTTAAGTAATCATTCTTAGTTGCAATAACGCGTAGCAACTAATTTCAATTCACTCTATTAAAGCTTGTCCAGCACAAATAATACAAGTATAATAATTTATGGAATAAGGATAAAAGTACAAGGAGAAAAGTGAAGGAAAAGTTCAGAGCAACTAACTGAAAACCATATTAAGAGATCTGGCTTTAGTAAATTGAAATTTGATTACAAATTTGATTACTTACTATGTGTTTCTAACCTTGTTCAATGATCTTACCACCACTCTATTAAAAAAAGGCCAAAAAGACATAAATTAGGTGACATATGAAAAATGATCAGGAAATCAAAGCAAAAGCTTTTTGTTTCCAGCCTAACTATATACCGTTCCAAGTTTGGTATTTGAATCCTGCATGTCTGAATAAAGTTCTGAGAGAGGGGCATAGGGGAAACCTATTTTACACAAAGCGTAAAGAAATAAAATGTGGAATGTGTGGGAAAAATTTGAATGTAGCAATCACAGGAAGACAAACACAAAATCATTCTAGTGAACTAATGACTCAACATTTATTTAACTGGCAACGGAGCCCTCAAATTGATCACACTAATGACATTTGTAAATGATCATACTTTTTTTTTTCCTGCTGAAGCTTTCCCATCTGCTACAGCTATGCTCTACATATATATTTTGCATTTGTGTGAATGTATAGAAGCTGTTTAAATATGTAAAAGCTGATCTGCAGTCAGATGGAAAAAATAAACCCCCATTACAAACCTTAAAGGGGTTTATTTATATCACGGTATGATTCACACAACAAATGTGTGCTAGACATTTGTTTCACCCTATGCCCCTATCACTTTCAGAGAAGCTCCGCCAATCAGCACACAACTTATTAGAGAGATTCCAACAGCAAACAACATTCACCCATCAGCCACTGCATTACACATTTGGGTGAATCCTCTTTTTGTCTTCTCACTCATTTTAAAACAGGTTTGCCTCTTATCGCACCAAAGGAAAAGGAGTTATAGCTAAATCAAACTTCACCTCACAGAAAAAAATTAAAATAAATACATTGAAATGATCGAATGGAGAATATGATTCCCTTCAATAGTGGGATGAAATGCTCAATAATTGACATAAGTGCATCGAACAAAGATAGTATTTAACTCCACAAAGACTCCAGACCATTTTCCAGGAGCTTTCGCGTACGTTTTAGGGTTGTCCCAGCATTAGGACATCCTAGCATATCTTTTGCCGCTGAAAGGTAGCCCCTACAGCACAAAATTGCACCTATAGGTCAGCTCTTGACTCTGACATCGCCAGTGTGCCTTCTGTTTATCCCTATCCCCACCATTGTGAAAAATGCTTGCATACTTTAGCAGAGCAGTAAAATGGGTCATAACTTTAACTTGGTATTCTCAGTTAGCCCCCATGGACCAAAGTTTTATCTAGAATGGACTCTTTGATGCTGATGGAAAGAGCCATTCATATTATTTATGGTACAATAGCACACTTTCTCAACCCCCTTGGTCTTATTCAGTTCTTTTTTGTTTCTCTCAATAGAATCTCTGCCATATATTTTTGCACAGTGACCATTTACTTACATGCCTCTGAAACTTGACTTTCCAACCTTTGTCATCTATATCTGGTGGACAACCATTGTAATCTATACTTCGTATTTTGCAAATATGATATTTACATGATGAATGCAATCCAACATCTTGCGCTTTGTGATCAATACCTTGCTCTGTTCTATATTATTTTATTTTTTTTTAATACATGAAAAACAAACCCAATAGAAAATCATTTGTAAACAAAAAATAGAACCCCCTAAGTATATTTAAAATTGTATGTATAGGCAAAGTGTTTTTTTTTTTAATTTTAGAATAGAGTAGGGAAGATCCTAACCCCGGTTAGTTTATTTCTCATTGGAGAGAGCTTTTTTTCCCCCTTCCTATATCTACAGACTAGGCTAAACACCAGCCCTACAGACAACATAATTATGAGTGGGTATCAATTATATACAATAAAATAAAGACCTAAAATAAAAACATTTTTTTTATATACACATACATAGTAAATTATATATAGATATAGCTACCCTGTTTCCCCGAAAATAAGACCTACCCTGAAAATAAGACCTAGTACTATTTTTGGGAATTGCTAAAATATAAGACCTACCCCGAAAATAAGACCTAGTTGGGACTATTGCCAGTTCAGTGGTGGCATAAGGGGGAACATGAAGAGCCGCGGGAATGAATTGGTGACTGCTACTCAAAGCACCAATGTGTGCAATACATATTTATACTAATATTTCTATTTATGTCATCTTTTTAATATCATATTTTTAACAGCAAGCAACATGTGGCTATTACAGATGATCAAAAGAATTTGCATGCCAAGCTAACAGCCTGTCTGGAAAGCAGCCAGAAACAATAGCATATGTAAACCTGTGGCCAGCAAGCGAACGAGTGAACGCCATAAGTTTCACATTACTCTCAGGCAGAAAAAATAAAGAGGTCAAATTCAAGAGCAACCTGAAACTTCTACAACTGCCTGATGTTTTCCTAGCTATTTCTATAAGATCATTTGTGGGGTCATCAACTTTGCTTCACTCTGTTTATTAACTGCGACCATTTTTTAAAAGGATATTATTCAACTTTGGAGAGATTGAATAGATAATGTGTTATGAAATGTGGTTAAAACGTAAAGAAATATTGAGGTCTTGTTAATAGATCTCATGTGTAAACTTGCCAGAATGCACAAATGGAAAATGCACAGGGTGGGGGAAATATAAACTACAGCAGTGTTTGCATACACAAAAACCTCTGTGCTCATTTCAAGCAAAGATGGATGTTATGATGATCAAGGAATCCCAAAGATCACAGCACCCTTACCAAGTAAAAATATCAGCGATTTATTGCATGTGAAATGCTGTACTACCTAATCTTTAATGAATTCCCCAAACAAATATAAACAGGATAGGCTTTGCCCTGTGACACTGCAGGCATAGCTGAAAAACACACTAAGGTCGGTCATAGCTGTGCACAATGGTACCATAGGGGAGATCCCTCCCCAAATCCAATCACGTGGTTTGACAATTTAAACGGAGCATATAATGACAAAATCTATAGGCAAAGGTCACCCTTAGTGAAGGGGTAGGACCAAGCTTAATACCCTCATCTTGCTGCATAGGCCTGCACAATGGGTCCTCATGGACTCCTATGGGACAATCTGTGGAGATGCTCAGAAGGTCCTGTAGAAGTCTATGAAGAGACAAAATGCAGCCGTAGCTAGCAGGTAGAGGATTTGGAAGCGGTGAGGAATAGCCACTAGATGAGGCTATGCTTCTTGATTTAAATAGTGCCCAGACCTCATAAAAGTGGTGGCTATACCCACACAAGGAAGAGAGTCCTGTGTTTTCTAACGAACATCAGGAGAAATTAAGCATTTACCCAAAGCATTTACGTCCTTTTCATT